AGTTATCAGTGCATACAAGAGAAATGTGATTTTTTACTAGTTTTATCGGTGGTTTATAACCCTTTCACCACTTGAGCACTTATGGGTGATTTTTTTTTTTTGCACACATGAATTAGAAAATTTTTTTTTTGGACTTTTATTCAATAATTAAAATCAGAAAAGACTGTCTCAGAGCTGCACTGAATTTATCTTAAATTTTTACTGAAGAAATGGATTTTCCTGACAGTTTTAGAATGGTTTAACCCTAAGACCACTTGAGCAACTGTATTATGGGGTTTTTTTTTTTGCACAACATGGGTTACATGTTTAAATTTTTTTTTTTATCATATATAAATCATATGAATTTTCTGAAAGCAGAGACCCTGAAGAATAAAATGGTGGTAGTATCAATTTTTTTTATGTCACAACATATCAGTGCAATGGTTTACCAAGCCCAACATTTCAGTACAAAAATACCTTTTCCACAATAAGGGGTCTAGTTATAGTTTAGTTTCGGTGAGTGCATACCCAAAAGGGGGGACATCATTCCTTGCACGTGGTGATTTCTTTTTTTTGGGAATTAGAAGATTCACTTGGTAGAAAAGACATTTTTTCTGTAATGTGAAGGAAAACATTTAGCAGTAATATTATTATGACTGCTAAATGTGACAGCTTCCTCCTGGTTGTTAAGAAGCCAGCACCCACCAGCGTCCTAGCAACCAGTGACTCATCCATGCCTGGCACTTTCAGCTGTCAACCGGGCATTCCAAACTTACAGGCAGGGGCGGACTCACCATTTGGAAACTCGGGCACTGCCCGAGGGCCCAGGGTCAGTAGGGGGCTCCATGAGATGGCCCTGGTACCTTTTTCATAGGCTTTTTTGAGTTTGGCAAGGACACAGGGGCCCCATGATCCCCTATTGCCCGGGGGCCACATGAGTTGTCAGTCCGCCCCTGCTGACAGGTGAATATAAAAAAAACAGCTTGGATTTTGCCTTCCTCTGGATCAACTGTGGGTATAGGATTATAACTTTTTTTTTACTCTATGGTTGAACTGGATGGACTTTTGTCTTGACTTATTTTCAGCCAGACTAACTATGTAGCTATGTTAAAAAAAAAAAAAAAAAGTTCGGGGCCCACCCCAAAATTATTCCAGGCCATTTTGGTCTGCTATAGATTTGAAGTAGGAAACACACACAAAAAAAAGTGTGGGTTCCCACCTAAAATCCATACTAGACCCTTACCCAAGCATGTAGCCTGGGTTAACAGAAAGCTGGGGAGGACAAGCATGCACCCTCCCTTCCTGAACCATACCAGTCCACATGCCCTCAACATGGGGAGGGCACCTGGCAGCGCAGTTTGTCCCCATGTTGATAAGGACAAGGGTCTCTTTGTCACAACCCTGGCCCCATGGTTATGGGGGTCTGCAGGTGGGGGGCTTATCAGAATTTTAAAAGCCCCTTTAAAAATAAGGGAGTCTTAGATACTGCCCCCCCCCCCCCCACCTCCTTCCCATGAATGAGTAAGAGGTACATAGCAAAAAAAACACATTCACACATTTTTTGACAGGTGTACAACCCCAATTCCATAAAAGTTGGGACGCTGTGTATCATCTACATAAAAACAGAAAGTAATGGTTTGCAAATCTCATAAACCCATATCCACTTCAGCTCCAGAAGGTTTTACCCCCTTCATGACCTAGCCGGTTTTTACTATTTAGCACTTTGCTACATTACTTAGTAATTGTGCGGTCATGCAATACTGTACCCAAACTAAATGTATGTCATTTATTTCACACCACTAGAGCTTTCTTTTGGTGTTTTTCTTTATTTTTTGCTATATCAATTAAAAAAACGATCAAAATTGAAGAAAAAATATTTTTTACTTTCTGCTATAAAACATAAAAAAAAAATTAAAAAACATTTTTCTGAATCATTGGTTGGGACTTGCTGACAGACTGCTGCTGTGCACAATCACAGTGGGTGTCAGCAGAGGGCCAAAAGCAAGCAGTAGCGTACCAGTCCGTTTAAACTGAGAAAATTTACTCTCCAGCGCTCCAGGGATCAAATGCCACAGGAAAGCCAAGGGAACCAGGACCAAATTCGCCTATGGATAGCCTTTCGGAGATGCTGCCCTCCTCAGATAGGGAAATCTACAACTGAAAAAAGAACAAACAGGAGGCGCACACACCCCTAGTGCATTATCCAAGGTTTATTATGGTATAAAATGGGGTGAAAAATACAAACAGCATAAATGTACAGCTTAGTAGAATGGTGGAGATGGCCATAACAATGGCAGGGTGTCCGACTGTCAGTGTGGTCGTCCCAGAAATGCGTCAGCTAGCCGACCACACTGACAGTCGGACACCCCGCCATTGTTATGGCCATATCCACCGTTCTACTAAGCTGTACATTTATGCTGTTTGTGAGTATTCTTCACCCCTTTTTATACCATAATAAACCTTGGATAATGCATTAGGGGTGTGTGCCTCCTCCTGTTTGCTCTTTTTTGAGAAAAACGTACTATTTTAAGAAAACAAAAAGTCATTTTGAAACTGAATATAAACTGATTTGTATTATCTTACATTTTGTAATAAATAATTGATTGGATCAAATGTGTAATTTCTTCGTGGCAACAAGTCCCACTTGTTTATCCTGCCCTTCATTTTCATTATCCTGAAATTGTTTAAAAATTTTTAGACGCATCTTTTCACAGATTGGTGAAGCTCTGCCCATCTTAACCTCTGAGACACTCGGACTCTCTAAGATGCTCTTTTTATTATTATTATTATACAGTATTTATAAAGCGCCAATAGTTCGCTCAGCGCTGTACATTACAAAGGGGGACAAAACATGTGACAGAACAATAACAATACAATGCAAAACATGAGGGGATCGAGGGCCCTGCTCTTTCGAGCTTACAATCTAGGAGGGAGGGGATGGTGGCACAGGAGGCGATAGCTATGGGGGATGGAGTGCTAGGAAGAGTGGAGGAGGTCGGCAAGTTAGCAGGGGGTGGGGTAGGCTTCCCTGAAGAGATAGGTTTTCAGGGTGCGCCTAAAGGAGAGGAGAGTAGGTGATAATCTGATGGGTTGGGGCAGGGAGTTCCAGAGGATGGGTGACACCCTGGAGAAGTCCTGGAGGCGGGCATGGGAGGAGGAGACCAGGGAACTAGAGAGAAGGAGGTCTTGTGAGGAGCGGAGTGTGTGTGCTGGGCGGTACTTGGATATTAGGTCAGTGATGTAGTTCGGGGCAGTATGGTGGACGGCTTTGTACGTCAGTGTTAAGATTTTGAATTTGATCCGTTGTGCAATCGGAAGCCAGTGGAGGTATTGGCAGAGGGGGTTGGCGGAGACGGAGCGATTGGAAAGGTGAATGAGTCTGGCAGCCGTATTCAGGATTGACTGAAGCGGGGATAGCCAGCGGCGAGGCAGGCCAGTGAGGAGGGAGTTGCAGTAGTCGAGTCGTGATATGATGAGGGAGTGGATGAGCTGTTTAGTGGTTTCTGGGGTTAGGAACGTGCGGATTTTGGCGATGTTGCGGAGGTGGAGTCTGCATGAGTTTGTTAAAGATTGGACTTGGGGTTGGAAGGATAGGTTGGAGTCCAGAATGACACCAAGTACTCTGGCCTGCGGGGCGGGTTTGATGGTAGCGTTGTTGGATGTGATGGAGAAGTCGGTGGGGGGTGGTGTCCGGGCTGGGGGGGAAGACAAGAAACTCGGTTTTGGAGAGGTTCAGTTTAAGGAAGTGGAGCGACATCCAGTCTGATATGTCGCTCAGTAGGTGTGTGATTTGGGCGGAGACTGAGGTGGTGAGGTGGGGGGTTGAGAGATAGATTTGTGTGTCGTCGGCATATAGGTGGTAGTTGAAGCCGTGAGAGTGTATGAGTTGGCCAAGGGAGGAGGTGTAGATGGAGAAGAGAAGGGGCCCGAGGACGGAGCCTTGAGGGACCCCAACAGAGAGGGGGAGTGAGGGGGAGGTGGTAGAATTATATAGGTAATGCTGAAAGAGCGTTGTGACAGGTAGGATGAGAGCCAGGAGAGAGCAGAATCTCTGAGGCCGAGGGAGTGTAGTCTTTTGAGAAGGAGGGGGTGGTCGACTGTGTCGAAGGCCGCAGAGAGGTCAAGGAGTAGGAGCACTGAATAGTGGCCATTAGCTTTGGCAGTTTCGGTGGAGTGTAGGGGACGGAAGCCGGACTGTAGGGGATCGAGGAGGTTGTTGTTATACCCAGTCATGTTACTGACCTGTTGCCAATTAACCTAATAAGTTGCAGAATGTTTTTCCAGATCTTCCTTGTTAGTACCACTTACTCTGCCAGCTTTTTGTTGCCCTGTCCCAACTTTTTTAAAACGTGTTGCTGCCATCAATTTTATCATTACCTTATTTTGTTTCCTAAAATGGTACATTTGGTAAATATATGATGTGTTTTCTAATTTCTATTGTGAATAAAATATGGGTTTATGAGACTTGCAAATCATTGCATTCTGTTTTTATGTAGATTTTGCACAGCCTTTATGGAATTGGGGTTGTAAATCCACCATCAATCACGTCATCCAGCTATGCAGATCCATCTCAATCACAATGGCTGATGGGAGCCAACATGCCAGAAAAAAAAAAAACACAGCCTGCTAACACGTCTGGATTCATTAGTCGACTCCCACAGAATGTCATCTCCCAGGTCCCATAGCAGCCTAAGGGTGACACCATTGACCATATATGGACATTACTATATTTGGTCAATAACGTGAAGTGTCCCCAATAAAAGGTCCCCCCTACGAAAAAAAAAAATATAAATTTCTGTTAGAGGAGGGGGCGGGAGGAGTGATATAAAATTGATAGGGAGAGTAAAGTTCTGCTTTAAGGAAGTATAATTCTGCCATTATTAAGGTAAAAGAAGAACATTTTTTATTGAATTTATTTGATATTGATCTGAAATGCAATTGTTTTATGTAATTCCTTTATCCAGTAACTATTATGGGGAACTAACAAGATACAAGACCTTCAGTGGAAATCTTTTAGATTTCTACATTCTCGTGGTGGAACCCTTCCGGTCCGATGCCACCCTCTTACCTGTATCATAGCCGTTCTCTGTATTTTTAATGAAACTCTCAACTTTAGCCAGTCTTGCTGATTCAACCAGCTGCTTTTCAGAAGGGTTGTCAAGACCATAAGCAATGTTTTCTCTGACTGTTCCAGCAAACAGGATGGGCTCTTGAGCCACTAAAGCCACCTAGAGAAAATATTGGGGTAAGCAATTATAAAGGAGGATTAATGTGGAACTCCAGTTTCTAGAGAATGTTAATGGAGCTTTGTAGTTCAGGCTTGTCTTCAGCCAGGTCACCTCTGTCTATGAAGAAGGAATTTGCTCTTTTTTTTGTTACTGCAAATATAAACTTATTATCCCATTTTATTTTAATAAAAGTTTTTCATACTCCAATATTTTTTAACAAATTGCTCACAACAAATTTTATTGAATCTCTCATCTGTTTAAGACAGCTAAAAAAGTAAATGATGACCATTGATTGGCTACTCTGGGTTACTCTGCTTTGCTCTTTTGGGCTGCATGCACACTGGGGTTTTTTTTTCTTAAGCTCACAAAACGATGGATAAAACATGCTGGTAATAGTGTTTTTTTAGTAGCATTTAGAAGCAATTAGGAGTGTTTAGAAGCGTTAGCATTTTATTAACGTAGAAACAAAAAGCTAGAAAAAGCTGTTAGGAGTGTTTTAGTGGCGTTTAAGAGTGCTTAGGAGCATTCAGCATTCAGCATTTTTTCCTGTTTATAGACACTGAAGCTAGAAAAAACCTAGAAAAAAAGCTGATAGGAGTGTTTTAGTAAGGTTTAGAAAGTGCTTAGGAGCGTTCAGCATTTTTTCTGCTCCAAAAACTCTACAAAAACAATTTTTTTTCTGTTTATAGATGCTGAAGCTAAAAAAAAAAGCTAATAGCCTAAAGTAGTGTGCATGGACACATAGGATAACATATAACTTCTAGGAGCAAAAAAGAAATTATTATTATACAGGATTTATACAGCGCCAACAGTTTTCTCAGCACTTTACAATATAAAGGGAGACAATACAGCAACAATACAGTTCAATACAAGAGGGTTAGGAGGGCCCTGCTCCTCGGAGCTTACAATCTAAGAGGGAGGGGCTTGTGGTACAAAAGATAATAACTGGTAGGAGGAATAGAAGGTTCCGTTATTAGCTGAAGGCAGGATAGGCTTCTCTAAAGAAATAGGTTTTCAGAGATCGCCTAAAAGTGGGAAGAGTAGGCGATAGTCAGATAGATTGGGGTAGAGAGTTCCAGAGGATGGGGGAGGCTCTGGAGAAGAAGTGGAGACGAGCATGGGAGGAGGAGACAAGGGAGCTAAAGAGCAGGAGGTCATGTGAGGAGCTGAGAGTACGGTTTGGGTGATATTTGGAAACAAGATCGGTGATGTAATTTGGGGCAGAGTTATAAATGGCTTTATACGTTATTGTTAGTATTTTGAATTTTTATCCGTTGGGCAATGGGAAGCCAGTGGAGGGATTGGCAGAGAGTTGTGGAGGACACTGAGTGGAGGCCAGTGGATTGGTAGAGAGGGGTGGAGGACACTGAGTGGAGGCCAGTGGATTGGTAGAGAGGGGTGGAGGACACTGAGTGGAGGCCAGTGGATTGGTAGAGAGGGGTGGAGGACACTGAGTGGAGGCCAGTGGATTGGTAGAGAGGGGTGGAGGACACTGAGTGGAGGCCAGTGGAGAGATTGGCAGAGAGGGGTGGCAGATACAGAACGGTTAGTAAGGTGGATGTGTCTGGCAGCAGCATTCATGATGGACTGAAGAGGGGATAGCCTGCGATGAGGTCGGCCAATGAGGAGGGAGTTACAATAGTCAAGACGAGATATAACAAGGGAGTAAATAAGTTGCTTAGTGGTTTCCGAGGTTAGGAATGGTCATATCTTGGAGATGTTGTGGAGGTGAAGTCTACAAGATTTGGACAGTGATTGGATTTGGGGCTGGAAGGACAGATGGGAGTCTAGGATTACACCTAGTACCCTGGCGTGAGGGGAGGGAATGATGATTGTGTTACTGATCTTGATGGAGAAGTCAGGGGAGGGGGCACAGGCTGGGGGAATACTAAGAGCTCAGTTTTGGAAAGATTGAGTTTGAGGAAGTGGAGTGACATCCATGCTGATATGTCACTTAGTAGGTTAGTAATGCGAGAGGAGACTGAAGGGGTGAGGTGAGGAGGAGACTGAAGGGGTGAGGTGAGGAGGAGACTGAAGGGGTGAGGTGAGGGGTAGAAAGATAGATTTGTGTGTCATCAGCATAGAGATGGTACTTAAAGCGGAGCTTCACCCAAAAGGGGAAGTTCCGCTTTAATGCTTTATCCCCCACTCCCCATTAACGATTGGCACCTTTGGGCAGTGGGTACCCGAATTTGACAGGTACCCACCTTCGTGGACATCACTGGATAGAGAGGAGGCTCAGGAAAGTTTTTTTTTTTTGGGGGGGTGACTGCTACAGAATGCATGAAGGTAAAAGACCTAGAGCCTTTAGAGCCATTTTAATCAGATCAGCTCTCACCCTCCCCCACCCCCTCATACACCCCCTATGGACCAAAGCAACTTTTACATTTCTTCTAAGGACCTGCTTCTTTGCCAATACTTTGTCATTACTTATAACAAACACATAAAGTATTACATATACTGTTTTATAGGAACAAACAAGGCCTTCGTTTTGAGATCTTGCCTTCAAAAGTTCTTTTTTAAAGCAGTAGTAAACCCCAGGAAATAATTAAAAATAAAAACATCCCCTGCAAGGTATAGTCATAGTGTGCTAGTATACATCACATACTAGCACATTATAAAGGACTTACCTTAAAACCAAGCTATTATTATTTGCTATTTTTTTCCCCACAAAAGTGGAGTCATCCTTTAATGCAGTAACTCTTCAACTATTCTGAATGTATGTAATATCAACTTTCTGTTGATTAAGACTGTTTGTCTTAATAAATAACTTGGTAGTACAAGATTACCTTTCTGTGTAGGTATTGGTGCTTATATTCGGCCAGTGGTCTTCCATCGAGGAGGATTTCCCCACTCTGAGGCTCATAGAATCTCTCCAACATTGCCACGCAAGTCGTCTTCCCGCCACCGGAGGGCCCCACTAGAGCTGTCACAGTGCCAGCCTTCAGAGTGAATGACACATCCTAAAGGGTACAAGGAGTGTGAATGAGATTGACATTACAGTATGGCAGACTAAAAATCAGTCAGTGTGAAAAAGCAGCTATAGAAAGTACACTATATTGCCAAAAGTATTGGGCCAGCCCACCAAATCATTGGATTCAGGTGTTCCAATCACCTCCATGGCCACAGGTGTATAAAATGAAGCCCCTAGGCATGCAGACTGCTTCTACAAACATTTGTGAAAGAATGGGTTGCTCTCAGGAGCTCAGTGAATTCAAGTGTGGTACCGTGATAGGTTGCCACCTGTGCAATAAACATCGGATGTAGTGGTGTAAAGCACGCCACCACTGGACTCTAGAACGGTGGAGACGTGTTCTCTGGAGTGACCAATCATGCTTCTCTGTCTGGAAATCCGATCGACGTGTCTGGGTTTGCCAGTAACCAGGAGAACGGTACTTGCCTGACTGCATTGTGCCAAGTGTAAAGTTTGGTGGAGGGGGATTATGGTGTGGGGGTGTTTTTCAGGAGTTGGGCTTGGCCCCCTAGTTCCAGTGAAGGGAACTCTTAAGGCGTCAGCATACCAAGACATTTTGGACAATTTCACACTCCCAACTTTGTGGGAAGAGTTTGGGGATGGTCCCTTCCTGTTCCAACATGACTGCGCACCAGTGCACAAAGCAAGGTCCATAAAGACATGGAGGAACCAGTTTGGGGTGGAAAAACTTGACTGGCCTACACAGAGTCCTGACCTCAACCCCATAGAACACCTTTGGGATGAATTAGAGCGGAGACTGTGAGCCAGGTCTTCTCGTCCGACATCAGTGCCTGACCACACAAATGTGCTTCTGGAAGAATGGTCCAACCTTTCCATAGTCACCCTCCTAAACCTTGTGGACGGCCTTCCCAGAAGAGTTGAAGCTGTTATAGCTGCAAAGGGCGGGGCCAACTCAATATTGAACCCTACGGACTAAGACTGGGATGCCATGAAAGTTCATGTGTGTGTAAAGGCAGGCCGACCAATACTTTCGGCAATATAGTGTATATAAAGACCTAATGGATAATCTGTGTGTGAGATAACAAGTTCTACAGGGCCGTATTGTGGTCTGATCATCACAAAGGAATGACAAAGCAGGAGCACTTCCATGCTTTAATTTGTCTCAGTATGGCCAGCACAAGGTTTTGTATACATAGACATTTTTCTAGCTTTTTTTTCCCATATCAGAATACTTTCACTGCAAAATCAACTTAAAGTGTACTTCAAGTCAAAGTTTTTGTGGTTGTTTTTTAAGTGTTGAGTAGAGTAAGGATGGGTTAGACCTACTGTGTGGTTTTTACTGCTCCTTGAATATGTATGTGTGACCAACCACCAGTGAATTCTAGATATCAGTCTTCTTTTCAAAGGATCACCCACGTGCCACGTGCATCATCTAGTAAACCATATGAGCTCACCTTCTGAATTGGACCTTAAAGTGTTACTAAACCCACACTAGTAAAATCAGTCTGCATATACAGTAAAGCATGCTTGTTATACTATATCAAATATTGGATGAAGCGCTCTGCTATAATAGTGCAATGTACAAAACCAAGATATTATACACATATATAAAAATATAAAGACAAAAGTGACTAGTGCTTAATAATATATGTGTAAAAAAATATATATATAAAGATTAATATAAAACCAGTCTGCCTCAAGTGGCTAAAACTGGTAATACATCTGCACACACAACTAAATAGAAAGTGACCAAGTGCTTAATTACATAGATAGTGTCTTATTAAATATAATAAAAATCACAGTGAATCATTTCAAAAAGTGCCAAGTGTTCAAATAACAATCAATATACATATAGTATAATCATGTGCAAAAATCATAGTGCCCCATCGTTGATGTCAGTGGTGGGAGGAATAGTGCCCCATCATTGGTATCAGTGGGAGGAATAGTGCCCCATCATTGGTATCAGTGGCAGGAATAGTGCCCCATCATTGGTATCAGTGGCAGGAATAGTGCCCCATCATTGGTATCAGTGGGAGGAATAGTGCCCCATCATTAGTATCAGTGGGGGGAATAGTGCCCCATCATTGGTGTCAGTGGGAGGAATAGTGTCCCAACATTGGTGTCAGTGGGAGGAATGGTGTCCCATCATTGGTGTCAGTGGGGGGTGGAATAGTGCCCCATCATGGTGGTGTCAGTCGGGGGTGGAATAGTGCCCCATCATTGGTGTCAGTGGGGGTGGAATAGTGCCCCATCATTGGTGTCAGTGGGGGGTGGAATAGTGCCCCATCATTGGTGTCAGTGGGGGGGGGGGAATAGTGCCCCATTGTTGATGTCAGTGGGGGGAGGAATAGTGCCCCATCGTTGGTGTCAGTGGAGGGGAGGAATAGTGCCCCATCGTTGGTGTCAGTGGGAGGAATAGTGCCCCATCATAGGTATCAGTGGGAGGAATAGTGCTCCATCATTGGTATCAGTGACACCAATGATGGGGCACTATTCCTCCCACTGACACTTGCTGACTCTGTTCTCGTATGGTGCTGCTGCAGCCAGCATATGTGGTTGCAGCAGCACCTCTACACTGACCACTTACCTGCTGATCCTGCACTCGATTTTCGCGGGGCCGCTCGGCTCCACCCCCTCGCCGGTGATTGGCCGCCTGTGTGCCTTTCCTGAGCTACAGTTCTGGCGGCCAATCACTGGTGAGGAGGCGGAGCCGAGCAGCCGCGCGAACATCCAGTGGCCGAACTGAAGGCGCAGCCACGCTTCCTGGACCGGATCGTCGTGGGACCGGAACCAGGTAAGAAATTGCCCCTGCCCACCCCTGTACTTAGTGTCCCTTCCGTTAGGGGAAGGGGGGGGGGGGCGGCGGCGGCACCGCGCCGCCCCCCTAAAAAGTGTCAGTATGCCGTATACCGGCGTATAAGACGACCCCCGACTTTTGAGAAGATTTTTAAGGGGTAAAAAGTCGTCTTATACGCCGTCAAATACGGTAACTGCTTCTTCATCCAAATAGTGCTCAGACCAAGGTGTCACTCCAGTGAATAAATCCTAAATATCCAGAGTGCCTCCTCACCTCCAACATTCGACCTCTAATGGTCACAGATCACTTATTTAAATGATGTTCCAAAACCGACACCAGGATATAGCTTGCCCCACGACTCAAAATATGCTCTTAGAAGTATACAAATGATTCCCCCATATCCTATGGGTGTAATAGGAAATCACGTTTGCCGAAAACCGGAAGTGCGTCACCGGAAATACGTCACCGAGCTCCATCTTCTTGAAGAAGCCACGTGACTGTGGTGTAACGCGTGGAGCGGATTGATGTCATTTCCGGGTGGAGCTCGGTGACGTATTTCCGGTGACGCACTTCCAGTTTTCGGCAAACGTGACAAACAGAAAGTCAGGAGTCTGCATCCTGCTAGAGCAGAAAGAAAACTCCTCCAACAAGCTTTAACCAGTGCTCAGCTGAAGTCACCAGACTGCTCTAACTGCTGATGAGAAAAGGTATTTAGCAGTTTAAATTTACTAAAATAATTGCATTTCCATGCTGTGTGTACTGTGGGAAACCAGGGCCCTGGGTTTTAGTAACACTTTAATGAATAATCAAGGTCAAACACACTTTTTGCCCCTCTAGGGCATTACTCCAACTGGCTCTTGGCTCCCAGTGACAATCACAGGCATCAACACATGGACTGAGGCTTCTGTTCGACCTCCTCCTTCTCCATGAGACATGTACTCATGTAAAAGGAATAAACCAGTAGTACTCTCCATATGTTTTAAAAAAAATGTAATAAAATCTAAAACGGGACACTCACAAACAAATGTACTCTCAGTGTCGTGTTCCGTGCATTCTATAAAAGTAAAACTGACTTCTCACCGCAGGGTCTTCTCACCTCCCAGTGGTGGCATCAAATGTGCTGACTTAGCTCCGTTCCTATACACATTACACTTTCAAAGGCTTCCCCAGTAGGACGAGGGCCTGGGCAGTTCACTGGGTGATGCACGTGGCAGGTGGGTGATCCGTTGAAGAGAAGATTGTGATATCTAGAATTCACTGGTGCTTGGCCACGCTTTCATATTCAAGTACTTTTGCTTTTTTCATTTGGGACTTATTTATTTAACAGACATTGTTTTAGTTTGAGCTGAACCATTATTTGTGTCATATCTTAGAGGGATGGAGTGAAAACGCCTAAAGGTGCTGGGCAGCAACTAAGGATTCACAGATTTGTGAGCATGTCGATTTATGTATATTAGGTTTATATGTCTCACATAGTTTATGGTATTTAACCACTTCCTGTCCAGACACTTTCACCCCCTTCCTGCCCAGGCCAATTTTCAGCTTTCAGTACTATCACATTTTCAATGACAATTGCGTGGTCATGCAATACTGTACCCATATGAATTTGTTAGCATTTTTTTTAGACAGATAAAAACTTTATTTTGGTGGTATTTATTCACCACTGGGATTTTTATTTTTTTTGCTATATAAATGAAAAAGTCCAAAAAATTTGGAAAAAAAGTGTTTTTCTTATAAAATTTTGCAAATAAATAATCTTTCTTCATTAAATCTTGGCCAAAATTTATTTGGTTATCTTTTTAGTAAAAAAAAACTCAAATTAGTTTATAACCAAAAACTAAATTTATTAAAAAATGTATTTACATTTTTTTATTTTTTTTTTTTATATTATTACGTATGTTTTTTTTTTACTTTAACCATACTGTCACCATAGTGACACTGTACTACTTGTGGAGGGTGATGGAAGTTTTTTTTTTTTTTTACTCTGATTGCTTTTACACCCATAAAGGCTGTAAAACCAATAATTTCTCCTTCTCTCTGGCTGCATTCTTGCAGCCATTGAGAACTACTGTGAGAGCTGTGATTGGTCACAGCTTGTCACATGGTAAAAGGCTGTTGTGAATAGTCCATGTACCTCTGTGATCATTCATAGTTTTCACTAGTAGTAAGCAATGATGTCAGGAAATGACATCTTGCTTACTACTATTCATGTGATCACTGATTGGCCAATCAGTGATCACATGATCGGGACCTCTGTGTGAGGTCCCGTACAGCGATCTGTGTTCTACTGTGTCTGGAGGACACAGCGGGCACAGGATAGCGGTGCATGTGCTCCCAGGGAGCACGCAGAGGCTGAAAATGTGGGCGCCGTTTATGAACGGCAACCCGCTCCTGCACTGCTTTCTTTCGGCCCTTTATGTACATGAGCCGGACGGGAAATGGTTAAATGATTGTCTTTCACTTTCCACATTCAGGTAATTATCCAGCATCTCAGTATCGAATGTTCAGTTGGGGTGTAGAGGGTATGGTGCTGGGTGCACTGGATTGTACTGGTTTTTTACTACTATTGGGTCTCTATTAGAGAGATTTCCCCTCACTTCCTGTCCTGCTGACAATGTTTTACCGGACAGGAAGTGAGGGAAAATTTGCACCAGAAACACAGACAGAAATACAAAATCTGACCCAGCTCCACTAGCCTACTAAAAAAAACAGTATTTTTGTACACGCCATAAAATCTTTTTCTCTGTCTATTGAGGGACACAAGAAGTCTTTAATTTTTGGTTATTTTACCTCCTTCAGGATTGGACACTAGCAAACAAAAAAAATAGCCAAGGAAAACCCCTCCCACTACCAGCATGCCTCAGTGTTGTAGTAAAGCAGTACCAAGAGTATGATCACAAACACAAAGGGGCAGGCCTTGTGTCCCTCAATGGACTCCAAGAAAGGAATTTCATGGTAATTGCTAGTGTTGCACCAAAACCGAAAATTCAGGATGCACTTAAGACGAAAAACCGAAATGGGCAGTTTTTGTTATTTGTTTTAACTCTTTATATACAGTTGCAAGAAAAAGTATGTGAACCCCTTGGGATTATGTGGAGTTTTGCATGAATTGGGCATAAAATGTGCTCTGAACGTCATCTAAGTCACAACAATAGAAGAACACAGTCTGCTGAACATAATACTACACAAACATTAGATGTTGCCATGGTTTAATTGCACATAACATGTAAACATTCACAGTGCAGGGAGGAAAAAGTATGTGAACCTTTGGACTTTAATAACTGGTTGACCCTCCTTTGGCAGCAATAACCTCAACCAAACGTTTCCTGTAGTTGCAGATCAGACCTGCACAACGATCTGGAGTCATTTTGGACCACTCCTCTTCACAAAACTGTTTCAGTGTAGCAATATTCTTGGGATGTCTGGTGTGAATCGCTCTCTTAAGGTCATGCCACAGCATTTCAATCGGGTTGAGGTCAGGACTCTGACTGGGCAACTCCAGAAGGCGTTTTCTGTGCTGTTGCAGCCATCGTTCTGTTGAATTACTTGTATGCTTTGGGTCATTGTCCTGTTGCATCACCCACCCTCTGCGGAGCTTCAGTTGGTGGACAGATGGTCGTACGTTTTCCTGCAAAATGTCTTGATAAACTCTGGAATTCATTTTCCCATCAATGACAACAATCCGTCCAGGCCCTGAGGCAGCAAAGCAGCCCCAAACCATGATGCTCCCTCCGCCATGTTTTACAGTGGGGATGAGGTTTTGATGTTGCTGTGCTGTGCCTTTTTTTCTCCACACATAGTGTTGTGTGTTCTTCCCAAACAACTCAATCTTGGTTTCATCTGTCCACAGTATATTTTGCCAGTAGTGCTGTGGAACATCCAGGTGCTTTTTTGCAAAACTTCAAACGTGCTGCAATATTCTTTTTGGACAGCAATGGCTTCCTTTGGTGTCCTCCCATGTACTCCATTCTTGTTTAATGTTTTCCTTATTGTAGATGTGTCAACAAAAATGTTAGCATGTGCCAGAGATTTCTGTAGGTCTTTAGCTGACACTCTGGATTCTTCTTTACCTCATGCAGCATTCTGCGCTGTGCTCTTGCAGTCATTTTTACAGGACAACTACACCTAGGGAGAGTAGCAACAGTGCTAAACTTTCTCCATTTGTAGACAGTCTGTCTTACCGTGGACACATGAACATCAAGGCTTTTGGAGATACTTTTGTAACCCTTCCCAGCTTCATGCAAGTCAACAATTCTTTTTCGTAGGTCTTCTGAGAGCTCTTTCTGCGAGGCATGGTTCACATCAGACAGTGCCTCTTGAAACCAGTAAACCCAAAACAGGTGTGTGTTTTTTAAGGGAAGGACAGCTATCAGCAACACATCCAATATCACCACACTGATTGGAGTCAAGGTTGGCTCACTCCTGGCTCCAATTAGCTCTGGGGGAAGTCATTAAGCTAGGGCCTCACATACTTTTTCCTCCCTGCACTGTGAATGTTTACATGTTATGTGCAATTAAACCATGGCAACATCTAATGTTTGTGTAGTATCATGTTCAGCAGACTGTGTTCTTCTATTGTTGTGACTTAGATGATGTTCAGAGCACATTTTATGCCCAATTCATGCAAAACTCCACGTAATCCCAAGGGGTTCACATACTTTTTCTTGCAACTGTATAATTGTACTATAGTTTACTTTTTAATTAATATCATGAATTTAAATGAATATAAATTTATTTTCGGCACCTTTTTAGCCAAGGGGTGGCTTTCACACTCAGCAGTTTTTTTAAGCGATTTTGCGTAAACAAAAAAAGAGCAAGAAAAGCTCAAGAAATATGCATCCTTTTAAATTCTGTGTGCCTTCACACTGGTCCGTTGCGCTTTCCTTGCGGTGTTAAAAATCCTGCTTGCCACATTTTTGGGGTATATTTGGTCAGTTGAAAAGAGCGCACTAAAAACGCATCTTACCATTGAAATGCATTGAAAACTGGACAAAAACGCATCAAAAACACACCCATGTTGCATTTTTAATGCAGTTTTTCAGTCATATGATCTATGAGATCTATGGCGTAAATGTGGTAAAATCACGGCAAAACTATGTATTGTTCGGCGGGCATTGTCAGCAGGAGAGTAAGGAAGATCTCATAAATGGAGCCAGGGATTGGAATAAAAACCCAGCAGAGTTTCTAATCTTTTGCACTCTATCCAAAGCAAAAAAAAAACAATTTTGGCTTTACATAAAAATAAACTCATCGTAACAGAAAAAAGATGGCGGCCAGTGCTGAGATCTAGTGATCTAGTTGTCTGCTCATCACGCTGACCCTCCTACTTCAACACGAGCAGATAAGGCCTCCTGCACACTGAAAAAGCTCAGTACGGCTTTTCTTTTTATTACTGAGGTAAAATGTAGCCCATTATTAACAATGTGCCTTTGCACGCAGGTGCGTAAATAAGCGCCGTGTGGTCCTCGGTAAAAAGAATATAGGAAAATCTGCATTTTTGGTCAGGAATGTACACCGTGTGCGCATAAATGTGAGCAAATTCGCACATAGGAACATAAATAGTCATGAATTTTCCCTATGAATACTTTTTGCGTGCAAATACGATTTAATGCATATACACTCACCGGGCACTTTGTTAGGTACACACCTGTTCAATTGCCTGGTAACAAAACTTGCTATTTAGCCAATCACATGGCAGTAACTCAATGCATTTAGGCATCTAGACAACTTGCTGAAGTTCAAACCGAGCATCAGAATGGGGAAGAAAGGTGCTTTAAGTGACTTTGAATGTGGCATGGTTGTTGGTGCCAGAAGGGTTGGTCTGAGTATATCAAAAACTGCTGATCTACTGGGATTTTCACGCACAACCATCTCTAGGGGTTTACAGAGAATGGTCTGAAAAAGAGAAAATATCCAGGGAGTGGCAGTTGTGTGGACAGAAATGCCTTGTTGATGTCAGAGGTCAGAGGAGAATGGGCAGACTGGTTTGAGTTGATAGAAAGGAAACAGTAACTCAAATAACCAAGGTATGCCATCTCTGAACACACAACATGTCCAGCCTTGAAGCAGATGGGCTACAGAGGCAGAAGACCACACCGGGTGCCACTCCTGTCAGCTGAGAACAGGAAACGGAGGCTACAAGTCACACAGGATCACCAAAATTGGACAAGAGAAGATTGGATAAACATTGCCTGGTCTGATGAGCCTTGACTTCAGCTGCAACATTCAGATGCTTGGGTCAGAATTTGGCATAAACAACATGAAAGCATGGATCCATCCTGCCTTTATCAATGGTTCAGGCTGGTGGTGGTGGCGTCATGGTGTGGGGGAGATTTTCTTGTCACTAGCAAGGTGTACCTAATAAGGTGGCCAGTGAGTGTACATACATAGACATGCGCGAATATGCGTAAAACAAGCGGCTGAAGTTCCATCTAAAAAAGCAAATGCTCAAATATCAGTACCCTGTGCAAGAGGCCTAAGGATTTCTACTTTTCTAAGACTTTGTTGAACCGCATTGACTATTTCAGGTCAGGAGAGCCAAATACTATGGAACCCATTAGACCAGCAAACCAGCCAGCCAACTAGCATTTTCAGAAGGCATGAAATGATAAAGGCTTCTTCCACAAACCCCAACACACTCACCTTCAGGGCGGGATTCTCTGGGCGGGAAGGGTACGAAAATGTCACATTCTTGAACTCGAAGACACCTTCTAAATTTTCAGGACACAAAGATCCAGATGTGGAGACCTGAGGCTGCTGATCCAAGTACTGGAATACTTTGGTGGAGGCTCCAGCGGAATGAGTGATCTCACTGAGCATGTGGAACAGGGACTGTGAGAGAGGAGAGAAGACATTGTCAGGACAATACTTCCTAAAACAGAACTAAGGGCCCTTTCACACTGACGCTCTTTTGTTTGTTTTTCATCTGTTCGTTTTCGGTTGAATAACGGACAGAAATTCATTCCTTTGGGCTTTCGGTTGTAAAGAGGTGATCACCCTTTTACATTTACCTGTAGTCTGCTCAGGTCAGTTTTTTAAATGGAACAATGTTCGTCCTTTTCCATTTAGATTGATCGGAAGTGATGCCGATCGTTTACATCCTTTCCATTTATGTTTGTTTTTAGGCAAGAAATATTTTTTGTTTAGGTCTCATGTACATTGGACATTTTGTTATCGCTTCTAGACGCCTTTCCTCCTGACAGCGGTGTTTGGCAGAAAAAAATGCTTGATGCTTGCTAACGGGAGAAATGCGTTTAGGCTTGCCAAGCACATGGGTGTTTATCATTTATTCTGGCCACTGAAATGGTTGCAGGAAAGAAAAATTGTATAATGTATGGCCTGCTTAAAGTGTTACTAAACCCAGGACCCTGCATTTACTATATCTGGTCTTCCCGGACCCTGCATTCACTATATCCAGTCTCCCCGGACCCTGCATTCACTATATCTGGTCTCCCCGGACCCTGCATTCATTATATCTGGTCTCCCCGGACCCTGCATTTACTATATCTGGTCTTCCCGGACCCTGCATTCACTATATCTGGTCTCCCTGGACCCCGCATTCACTATATCTGGTCTCCCCGGACCCTGCATTCACTATATCTGGTCTCCCCGGACCCTGCACTCACTATATCTGGTCTCCCCGGACCCTGCATTCATTATATCTGGTCTCCCCGGACCCTGCATTTACTATATCTGGTCTTCCCGGACCCTGCATTCACTATATCTGGTCTCCCTGGACCCCGCATTCACTATATCTGGTCTCCCCGGACCCTGCATTCATTATATCTGGTCTCCCCGGACCCTGCATTCACTATATCTGGTCTCCCCGGACCCCGCATTCACTATATCTGGTCTCCCCGGACCCTGCATTCATTATATCTGGTCTCCCCGGACCCAGGACTCACTATATCTGGTCTCCCCGGACCCTGCACTCATTATATCTGGTCTTCCGGACCCTGCATTCTCTATATCTGGTCTCCCGGACCCTGCATTCACTATATCTGGTCTCCCAGGACCCTGCATTCACTATATCTGGTCTCCCCGGACCCTGCATTCACTATATCTGGTCTCCCAGGACCCTGCATTCACTATATCTGGTCTCCCCCGGACCCTGCATTCACTATATCTGGTCTCCCCGGACCCTGAATTCACTATATCTGGTCTCCCAGGACCCTGCATTCACTATATCTGGTCTCCCAGGACCCTCTACTCACTATATCTGGTCTCCCTGGACCCTGCATTCACTATATCTGGTCTCCCCGGACCCTGCATTCACTATATCTGGTCTCCCAGGACCCTGCATTCACTATATGTGGTCTCCCCGGACCCTGCATTCACTATATCTGCTCTCCCCGGACCCTGCACTCACTATATCTGGTCTCCCTGGATCCTGCATTCACTATATCTGGTCTCCCTGGACCCTGCATTCACTATATCTGGTCTCCCCGGACCCTGCATTCACTATATCAGGTCTCCCCGGACCCTGCATTCACTATATCTGGTCTCCCAGGACCCTGCATTCACTATATCTGGTCTCCCCGGACCCTGCATTCACTATATCTGGTCTCCCCGGACCCTGCATTCATGATATCTACTCTTCCCGGACCCTGCATTCAGTATATCTGCTCTCCTCGGACACTGCATTCACTATATCCATTCTCCCAGGACCCTGCATTCCCTATATTCGCTCTCCCCGGACCCTGCATTCACTATATCTGGTCTCCCAGGACCCTGCATTCACTATATCTGCTCTTCCACAGTACACAGAACAAGGATATGCAATTATTTTAGTAAATATAAACTGCTAAATACTTTTTCTCATCAGCAGTTAGAGCTGATGAGAAGCCTTGTGACTTCTATCAGTGTCCAGCAGAGCACATGTTAAAGCTTGTTGCAGGAGTTTTCTTTCTCCTGTAGGAGGATGCAGGACCCCTGACCTCTGTATGGACAGCGCTGATTGGCCCTGTGCTGATCACATGTACTCTCCCAAGAAAAAGAAAATCCTCTCTAGCATTACACACCAAATCAACCAAACCAGGATCAAACAGCGTTTTTAAACAATGCAGAGGATTAACAACTTAGGTTTCACAATTAGTATAAGAAGCATGCTTTACTGCATATACAGACTGATTTTACTGTTGTGGGTTTAGTAACACTTTAAGGTAACTGAAAAGGAGAAGAGGCGGTCGACTGACTTAGATACTATTTCTGACGAGGAATGGTCCACCATATTAGAAAATGTAATTAAAGTCTCCTTGTCTCCAGCTCAGAAGCTTACCCAACTCTTGTTCAAACATTTTTATTAACAAGAGAGAAAACTTTAACAACACAACCAAGGAGACTTTGTTGATATACATTGGATATTGAAGAGGCAGTAGGACAATGAAGAAAAATGAATGAGGATCACATTACAGATGTCTATACAATTCTAGCAAAAGCAGGAACATAAGAGTCGGTAATAGATGACATTATCGTCCCAGCCAATCAAAGTAACGTCTCCTAAGTGCATTTAAGAAGTAGGGGGAAGTTTGGAGGGGGATCAGATGGGGGAGGAAGGGAGGGTATGGGAAAAGGAACAATAACAATGACTCCATGAACAATCAACTAGTTTACAGCAGACTCTACGTGTTGCCCACGAAGGACTATTGACAGTATCCTAGTATAGAAATCAAGGGAGGAGTGATTCATCAAAGTTAGACGGGAGGAAGTGCTCTACCCAGGGGATCCATATGTGCAAAAATTTAGGGATCGTGTCTAGAATTGTGGCTTCCACCTTTGCATGTATCATGGCTTGTGTTATTCTGGTTTTGACGGCAGCAACACTAAGGGTGGGGGATTTCCAGGATTTCGCTATAACCTGCTTAGCCGCTGTTGTAACTTGCATAAGGAGCTTGAATTGCGAGTTGGAGACGCCAGGGGGGCACTGATTGAGTAGGGCTGTTGTTGGATCAGGTCGTAGAGTGATAGCGCTAAGTGTAGATAGCATGGTGAAAATTTCATCCCAAAAGATTCGGCCACTGGGCATTCCCACCACATATGGTAGTGCGTCCCTAAGTCTGTACAGCCTCTAAAACACTTGGGCGAGTAATTAGGGGTGAATTTTGCGATTCTCGCTGGGACCAAGTATCAGCGGGTTAAAACTTTATAATTCGTTTCCAATGCTACAATGTTCTGCAAAGATGATTTTGTGTTAGCCCAAATGTGATCCCAGTCAGATGGGTTGAGTTTCTTGCCTAAATCCACTTCCCACTTATGGGTATACAGAGGGGGGGACGTGGTAATCGAAGTAGTGAAGAGTGAATATAAGCAAGAAATAAGCCCACGTCTATGGGGGTCTTTGTAGCACGCTCGTTCAAAGAAAGACATAGAATCTGGCCGATTTGTTGTTGTAGTGTAGGGAGCGTAAAAGTGTTGTAGCTGTAAGTATCTGAATATCTCGGAAGCTGGGAGGCTATGTGTTTCCCGCAGCGAGGCAAAGGATTTAAACTTATTCCTCTGCAGGAAATGATGCGTGCAGAGCAAATTAGAAGAGGACCAGGCTTTGAATAAAAGGGGCATCTGCCAGGCCAGGGGAAAAGCTGGGTTTCGTAAAAACGAGAGCAGAGGATTATGTAGCGATTGGAGGGGATATCGGGTTTTCAGTTTATCCCATAAGGATAAAAAGTGAGAAGTGATGGGGTTGGTTATAGAATGGCGGTCTATAGGCCTCAACCAGAGTAAGTTAGCTGTAGATAAGGCTTACCCAACTCTTTATTATCCACCGTACTTATCGCACTCCTCAATGACTACATGCTTGGCATAGGAGAGATTCTCCCCTTTGCTCTAGATGTGAAATCCATAATGGTCCGCTTATACATATGCTTTGGAAATGTCACAAATTGGTAAGATATTGGTCCCATATTATAACAATGATCAATAAGATTTGGAATCTTACTGTTACCATTAGATCCCAAATTTTGTCTACTGGGAGTGTTAGATGAGGAACTGGTTACTCCACAAGTCTATATAGCTATCCTTAGGGTGCTGTTTATTGCTAGGAAACGTATAGCTCAGAAATGGTTATCACCCTCACCTCCTTCCCATATTCAATGGATTAAAGTGGTCAATGATACTCTGATTCAGGGGCGGACTGACCATTTGGAAACTCGGGCACTGCCCGAGGGCCAGGGGTCAGTAGGGGGCCCTGGTACCTTTTTCATAGGCTTTTTTGAGTTTGGGCAAGGACACAGGGGCCCCATGATCCCCTATTGCCCGGGGGCTCCATGAGTTGTCAGTCCACCCCTGCTCTGATCAGAGAAATATTAGTTTATCAACATAGAGGATGTGCACAGAAATTTACAAAAGTCTGGGATGGCTGGTTGGGGACACTGGGATTAGCACCAACACAATTAGTTAAGGACAGGCTCTTAAGCGGTGGAACCCCATCGGGCCTACTATGAGATAACTATCCTTCCATCAACCCTTGAATAAGAATTGGGATATAGATGTATCCATACGGTAAAACAATACTATTGGCAAAAAGTTAGATCAGACTCCTTATATACTATATTACACGAGGATGAGTAGGGAGGTTTGACTCTTGGAGTTTAGTTCAAAGAAGGCTGGCTTTTGGTTCTTCTTGTTTTTGTTGTTGTCAAATTGTTGAAAACTATTTTGACTTTACAACTCATACTATTTTAATTAACTTCTGTTTTTTTCCCAGCCTTTTTTGGAATCGGGATTTTTTTTGTTCCTATTTCTCTTTTTCAAGAAAGGATCTGGAAAATGTTGTGGTCTGGAATCTATGGTTATATCCTTGGTCTACATGTTTTTTGTACCCCCTTTTATATTACAACGATGTAATTTGTTGATATTATGACTACACTCCATTGGAGATTGTGGTTGTCTGATTGTATCTGTACATGGATCCATATTTCAACCAATAAAAAAGATCGTATTTAAAAAAAAAAAAAAAAAAAAGGGAGAAGAGGCACCACGTCTTGGGCACTGCCCTGCATATTATACTGGGAGAGTGTGGTTCTGCCCATGTAATCAGCAGCACTCTGCTCTACTGTCAGTATGACAGCCATCCGATCTGTAAATAAGAGCACAGCGTCCAGCTTCCCAGAGCTCTGAAGATAATTGTTTTGTAGCACCAAGTTATAGAGCTCGGGAAGAAGGAGAGAACATTTTGTCATCCTGGATTTGGGTAGCAGATGACCTCATCCTGGCACGGCGTGTGATCAACTTCCATTGTAGACTACCTGCACTTACAGCTGTCGGACCAGCCTGGATATGTTTATTACCTACCCGTAAGTAGTCTCCGGACTCTATTTGGTACAGCATGAAGGACACCATCTGCCCGCTGGTTATAGCTCCGCTCTGGATTAGGTTGTGCCCATACACCAACATCGCCACCTGAGTACCCAGGTTAACAGTCTAGAGGAAGGGTGGAGACCGAGCACATAGGAAAATGAGAGAAGGAAGAGAGATTGCAGAAAATGATTGTTAATATTTTTCCATATTAACGAGCAACTACAAACTCCCTAGCAAAATTTTTTTTTTGGGAGGGGGGTGGGGGCATGTAAACTGTTCCTGTATGTCAAATAAAAATATATACATATCAGTCCATGGAGTCCAACATTGCCATATTTTCAGCTCTGTTGTACCTTGTCGTTCTTCTCCTGGGTCTCCATGACTGATATCCCACACATGAGCAGACATGCCAAGGGACTATAGGTCTGCACATATGCCCAATCCTGAAAATCTACTGCACATCTCCCATGTCCCATTGACTTGATCATTTCTGCACATTTATGGAAGGTTTTCAGAAATTGAACGCATGTGCAGACCCATGACACGTCCATGAACGATATGGGCAGATCTTGCCTTGCCTTGGTGAGAATACAGGAAGTAAGTGGAGTAAAAATGCAGTGCACCCCTCAACAGGCAATAAGGAATGCCTCCTCACTGCCCTGATATAGGGCCGGTTCACACTATAGAAATGCAGTCCAGGTGCATTCTGGATGCATTTCTGCATGCACGTTTTTTACGCATTCCGGTGCGTTTTTATTCTTTCCGGTTCATTTTATCCCCCTTCAATTTAAATAGGGACATGAGCGTTCCAGTGCATTTTGGTGTATTCCAGTACAGTTCTGTGCAGGAAAAATTCAGCATATTCTACAATTTTTTTCTGCAACTACAGCGCACTGGAACTGCAAGCACTGATGTGAACTATGACATTGACAACCATATAACCTACTTTCTGTATGTTTTCGATGCAGAAAAAAAAGCAACTGAAATGCATATAGTGTGAACTGGCCCTAAGTCTCTAAAAACCTGCACAACTGCCCTGCAATCGCAGGTATGGCACACAGTTGTGGGGTCGTTTTTGTGCGGCCCCATTCCGGTGGGTCGGTGGCCTTCTATGGGCAGTACAAAGTACAGAGAAGGGCAACCAAACTGTTAAGAAGCATGGAGGAGCTCAGCTATGAGGAAAGATTAGAGGAACTGAATGTATTCTCTCTGGAGAAGAGGAGATTGGGGGGATATGATCTCCATGTATAATACATAAGGGGGGATATGATCTCCATGTATAATACATAAGGGGGGGATATGATCTCCATGTATAATACATAAGGGGGGATATGATCACCATGTATAATACATAAGGGGGATATGATCTCCATGTATAATACATAAGGGGGGATATGATCTCCATGTATAATACATAAGGGGGGGATATGATCACCATGTATAATACATAAGGGGGGATATGATCTCCATGTATAATACATAAGGGGGATATAATCACCATGTATAATACATAAGGGGGATATGATCTCCATGTATAATACATAAGGGGGGATATGATCTCCATGTATAATACATAAGGGGGGATATGATCTCCATGTATAATACATAAGGGGGATATGATCTCCATGTATAATACATAAGGGGGGATATGATCTCCATGTATAATACATAAGGGGGGGATATGATCCCCATGTATAATACATAAGGGGGGGATATGATCTCCATGTATAATACATAAGGGGGGATATGATCTCCATGTATAATACATAAGGGGGGATATGATCTCCATGTATAATACATAAGGGGGGATATGATCTCCATGTATAATACATAAGGAGGGATATGATCACCATGTATAATACATAAGGGGGGATATGATCACCATGTATAATACATAAGGGGGATATGATCTCCATGTATAATACATAAGGGGGATATGATCACCATGTATAATACATAAGGGGGGATATGATCTCCATGTATAATACATAAGGGGGGATATGAAAGGGAATTTACTAAGACTGGAGCAGCCAAAATCTAGAGCAGCTGTGCATGGCAACCAGCCAGCTTCTAGCTTTCATTTTCAAAGATTAAGTCCTGGTTCACACTTGTGCAGGCCATACGGCCAGCGTTGGGTGTGCCAGACAGCCGATTGATTTGAATGGGTTGCCCTGCCTGCGTTTTCCTCAAAAAGAGGTGCACACACCTTTTTTAAATAACATGGCTGCTGAGTCAAAACGACCATGCGATTTCCCTGCGGTTCCCGTAAACGCTCTGCAGGACTCAGAAGCATGGGGGTGCCATTCAGAATGAATGGCAGTCACATGCATCTGATAAGAGCAGCACAATAAGGCTGCATTCACACTTTTTGTAGCGTTTTGTAGCTTGAAGTTCTAAGCTTGAAGCTCCAGAAAAGCTCAAACTTAAAAAATCAATTGTTCTCTATGGTGCTTGTTCACACCTGATCACACGAACAGGCACCATAGAGAACAACTGATTTTTTAAGTTTGAGAGTTTATGGAGCTTCAAGCTTCGAGCTTCAAACTACAAAATGCTCAGTGTGAATGCAGCCTTAGACTGCGGGTGGTTGCAACTGCGGGAACAGATGCGATTCCTGCACCCTCAACCAGCCTGCACAGTGTGCACCAGCGCTAATGCCCCGTACACACGATAAGAAAATCATATGAAAAATTTAGCGGAACCACTGATCAAACAATTTTTTTTTTGCTGATGAGCAGGATGTTTTAACCGATAACAATATTGTGAGCAAAAAAAATCTGGTTGAACAACAGTGAAAAATGTTGTGGTTTCACATATGAACGACCAATTTTCTATGCGGTGGTATGACGGTCGTACGAAAAAAATATATCACGCATGAGCGGAAACAGAAGATGACCCGGATGTTTATGTCCAAGGAATCTTCGCAAATACAAACGAAAAATCCAAATGTTAAAAGTAGATTGGCCTAATGAGATCATGAAGCCAGAATTCTGCAGATTATATTTTATGTATCACTATTTATGTATATAGGTCATAAACTATATTATACTCATTGCTGGTCATTGTTGTGTATATCGATCGTTCTGGCAGGAAGGGCGTGGCTACAAGGTCACACGCACACTGCATCACTTCCACTTGTATGGAAGACGTCAACACTACGTGTTGCCCGATGAACGTTTTTTTTAGATTGGTTAATGTGGGCCACGATTTCGACCAACGAACTAATGCCTCTCGGTCGTCGGATGACCGTTCGGTCAATTTTCTAATCGTGTATTCCCACCTTAACTGTCAAGCTGAAGATAGAAGCTGATTGGTTACTATACCAATCTATACAGATTCTGTCTGCTCCAGTTTTAGTAAATGACCCCCTCTATGAGCCTATTGTTCAGAATGTTCTGCAATTTATATCAACATGGACAAGTTGTCTATTCCTAAAATGAGTAGCTGCAATTAGTTTATCCAGCATGACCGGCACTGTATGATTGCTGTAGAAGTAACCAGTACCAGAGAAACCACATCTGATGTAATTGATGGATCTATTGGCCTGTAAAGTAGTCTGATTATGTTGTCTGAAATGCTGCTGTTATTACAGTAATAATGTTTTCAACATTTATGTGTTGTCCTTTACTGTTCTGCGATGCTGGGGTTAGCATCTGTCCAAAAGGGGGGGGGGTACTGTAGGCAAGTACAGTCTGTAATCCCCTCTGCAGGTGGCGCTTGACCGAAGCAACAATACAGAAGGGGAAGGAAGATGTGAGGACCATATGAGGACTGGACATAAACGTACCCTGATAGCGAGTAGGTACACAGCTCGGACCAGATCCCTCCTGCATTGCAGACGATGCGTCTTCTTTAGAGCCTCCTCATATCTCTCTGCCTCCTCCTCCTCCGCAGCAAAACTCTTTACTGTCTTCACAGATTCAATAATTTCCTTTGCCACATCACTGGAGCTGGCAATGGAATCCTGCACCTTCTTCACCAGGTCCTAGGGGGTGACAATACAAACATTTTGCATAACTACATTATAATCATGTTGGCTTTATAAAGGAAGCAACTTCTCAGAATGAAGCATGTGATTCCAGCGCTGGAACGTTTTTTGCATAGAAATGTAAGGCATCAGGTAGAGGATCCCAACTCAGGAGAGGTGAGTATGCAAGCATGGGGCTAAGGGCTTGTGAAGGGTGACAGGGAGGATTAGTGTTAGGATTACGGGAAGGGTTGGTATGAGTGTTACAGTAAAAATGAGTGTTAGGGTTACAGGAAGGGTTGGTATGAGTGTTACAGGGAAAATTAGTGTTAGGGCTCGTTCACATTTGGCTGTTTTACCAACGCTTGCCAAACGCCCCTATAGCATTTGGCAATCGTTGGTCCGGTGTTTGCGGAGCGTTTTTATCGCTCCGCAAACGCCGCATGCGCGGTTTAGCGGAAGTTGCTAGGCCTTTTCCGAGCGTTAAAAACGCCCCACAAACGCCTATAATGATGTTTGAATGGTGTTACCGCTCCGCAAACGCCCCGTAACTGCGTCACAACCGCCGGCGTTTGCGGAGCGGCACCATAGACTAGAACAGAAGGGTTCAACGCCTCCTGACTCGACCAGAGGCGTCAGTTTTGCCACGACGCAAACGCTCCCGTTAGAACAGCACCATGTGCTGCAATGTGCAGAATTGGCAGAGGCGTTTGGGAAGCGGTAAAAACGCTTCCCAAATGCCTCTCTGCCGCCTGCACACAACGCTAGTGTGAACGTAGCCTTAGGGTTACAGGAAGGGTTGGTATGAGTGTTACAGGGAAGATTAGTGTTAGGGTTACGGGAAGGATTGGTATGAGTGTTACAGGAAGGATTAGTGTTAGGGTTACGGGAAGGGTTGGTATGAGTGTTACAGGAAGGATTAGTGTTAGGGATACAGGAAGGGTTGATATGAGTGTTACAGGGAAGATTAGTGTTAGGGTTACAGGAAGGATTGGTATGAGTGTTACAGGAAGGATTAGTGTTAGGGATACAGGAAGGGTTGATATGAGTGTTACAGGGAAGATTAGTGTTAGGGTTACGGGAAGGGTTGGTATGAGTGTTACAGGAAGGATTAGTGTTAGGGATACAGGAAGGGTTGGTATGAGTGTTACAGGGAAGATTAGTGTTAGGGTTACGGGAAGGATTGGTATGAGTGTTACAGGAAGGATTAGTGTTAGGGTTACGGGAAGGATTGGTATGAGTGTTACAGGAAGGATTAGTGTTAGGGTTACGGGAAGGGTTGGTATGAGTGTTACAGGAAGGATTAGTGTTAGGGATACAGGAAGGGTTGATATGAGTGTTACAGGGAAGATTAGTGTTAGGGTTACAGGAAGGATTGGTATGAGTGTTACAGGAAGGATTAGTGTTAGGGATACAGGAAGGGTTGATATGAGTGTTACAGGGAAGATTAGTGTTAGGGTTACGGGAAGGGTTGGTATGAGTGTTACAGGAAGGATTAGTGTTAGGGATACAGGAAGGGTTGGTATGAGTGTTACAGGGAAGATTAGTGTTAGGGTTACGGGAAGGGTTGGTATGAGTGTTACAGGAAGGATTAGTGTTAGGGATACAGGAAGGGTTGGTATAGGTGTTACAGGAAGAATTAGTGTTAGGGATACAGGAAGGGTTGGTATAGGTGTTACAGGAAGAATTAGTGTTAGGGATACAGGAAGGGTTGGTATGAGTGTTACAGGGAAGATTAGTGTTAGGGTTACAGGAAGGATTGGTATGAGTGTTACAGGAAGAATTAGTGTTAAGGTTACAGGAAGGGTTGGTATGAGTGTTACAGGGAAGATTAGTGTTAGGGTTACAGGAAGGGTTGATATAAGTGTTACAGGGAAGATTAGTGTTAGGGTTACAGGAAGGATTGGTATGAGTGTTACAGGAAGGATTAGTGTTAGGGTTACAGGAAGGGTTGGTATGAGTGTTACAGGGAAGATTAGTGTTAAGGTTACAGGAAGGGTTGGTATGAGTGTTACAGGAAGAATTAGTGTTAGGGTTACAGGGAGGATTAGTGTTAGGGTTACAAGAAGGGTTGGTATGAGTTTTACAGGAAGTATTAGTGTTAGGGTTACAGGGAAGGTTTGAATGAGGGTAACATGATGGGTTAGTGTAAGGAGTACAAGGAGGGTAGGTATGAGGGTTGGTTTGAGGGTTACAGTGGATTGATGTTAACAGGGAGGGTTAGTTTAAGGATTACAAGGAGGATAATTGTTAGGTTCACAGGATAGGTTGGGGTCACAGGGAGGGTTAGTATTAGAGTTGAAGGAAGGGATACTGTTGGGATTACAAAGTGGATAATAGTTACAGAAAGGGTTAGTCTGAGGGCTACAGAGATGGTTTGTGTTAAAGGGTGGGTTAGGATTGGGATTACAAAGAGGATTAGTGTTAGGTTTACAGGGAAGTATTGTATTAGAATTACTGGGAGGGTTTGTGTTAGGCTGACAGGGAGGGATTGTAATAGAATTACTGGGAGGGGTAGTGTTAAGGGTATAGGGTTAGTGTTAGATATATTGGAAGATTAAGTTTAAGGATTAGTGTTAGGATTACAAGTATGAGGGTAAATGTTAGAATTACAGTGGGGTTTAATGTTAGAATATAGAGGAGATTTAAGGTATTCTCACTAGAATTACAAGAAGGTAAGTCTGAGGATCTGTGTTAGGGTTAAAGGAAGGATTATTATGAGGAGTTAGCACCGAAAACTAACATTATGAGGCTCCTTTGCTGAAAACTAACATGTTGTCTCTGATTTCAAAACAAAGCTTGCAAATAATATCTAGGGAATATCTGAGGCACAGTACTGATTGAAATTAAAGGGTGACAACACTTTCTCCATGCAGTAGTATAGAAGTGTGATAGCGACACTCACCCTCCCTTCCCACTGTCTCTCCCTTCCCACACTCTACTTCTCCATTTCCCAGTCTCACAGGAGACACAGGCAACAATGGAAGCCATAGGCTCCTGCTGCTGTCAGTCAAACTCCTGTGATGAATAAGCAGGGTTGTCGCTGAACAATGCTGTGTGTGTCTATGGTTGCACACAGCCCAGCTAGGATGTAGGCATGCACAGGTGCCCCCTTAGCACCCGGCTTGCTGAGGGGGGCACTTGGGGAGCACACATTGCTGGTGGGGGACTGCAAAAGAGGAGGTAAGGAACCACTTTGTGCAATACCATTGCACAGGACAGGTAACTTTAACATCTGTTTTATTTTAAAGCAAAAAAGTACTTTCAATATAAACTTAGACGTTTTTAAAACAATTCTCCAAATTACAGATCTGAATGTCAAATTTACAGTGTTTCTAAGGAGGTTCCTGACCACCTGGCAACCCTCCCCACCCCCTGCCTTTACAGTTATGTTCAAAATAATAGCAGTGTGTTGAAAAAAAGTGAATAAAGCTGAAGATCCTTCTAATATCTTTTATTTCCATCCACACAAATGCATTGGGAACACGACACATTCTATTCCAAATCAAAACATGAAGAAAAATAGATCAAATTTGTGTTGTTCCTCTAAAAAAATTGAAGAAAAGTGAATATTAGACTGTTCAAAAAATTAGCAGTGTTTGTATTCTTCTTTACAAACTCAAACATTCACTATATAAACTGAAAAATGTTTGAAGATTTTGCTTTCCTTTGAATGACTTAATGAATATTTGGTTGTAGTCGCACTGTTTCTGAGAACTGCTGTACATCTGTGTTGCATGGAGTCACCCAACTTCTGGCCCCTGTGATCAGGTATTCCAGCCCAGGATGATTGGACTACATTCCACAGTTCTTCTCTATTTCTTGGTTTTGCCTCAGAAACTGCACTTTTGATGTCACCCCACAAGTTTTCTATTGGATTAAGATCCGGGGATTGGGTTGGCCACTCCATAACGTCAATCTTGTTGGTCTGGAACCAAGATGTAGCACGTTTACTGGTGTGTTTGGGGTCGTTGTCTTGTTGGAACACCCATTTCAAGGGCATTTCCTCTTCAGCATAAGGCAGCATGACCTCTTCAAGTATTCTGATGTATTCAAACTGATCCATGATCCCTGGTATGCGATAAATAGGCCCAACACCGTTGTATGAGAAACATCCCCATATCATGATGCTTGCACCACCATGCTTCACTGTCTTCACAGTGTACTGTGGCTTGAATTCAGTGTTTGGGGGTCGTCTGACAAACTGTCTTTGGCCACTAGACCCAAAAAGAACAATCTTACTTTCATCAGTCCACAAAATGTTGCGCCATTTCTCTTTAGGCCAGTCAATGTGCTCCTTGGCAAATTGTAACCTCTTCAGCACGTCTTTTTTTCAACAGTGGGACTTTGCGGGGACTTCTTGCAGATAGCTTGGCTTCACATAGGCGTCTTCTAATTGTAACAGTCCTCACAGGGAACTTTACACCTTCTTTCATCTTCCTAGAGCTGTTTGTTGGCTGAGTCCTTGCCATTTGAGCTATTCTTCTATCCATTCGAATGGTAGTTTTTCGCTTTCTTCCACGTCTTTCAGGTTTTGGTTGCTATTTTAAAGCATTTGTGATCATTTTAGCTGAGCAGCCTATCATTTTCTGCACTTCTTTATATGTTTTCCCCTCTCCAATCAACTTTTTAATCAAGGTACGCTGTTCTTCTGAACAATGTCTGGAACGACCCATTTTCTTGAGAATTTCAGAGAGAAATGCACTGTAACCAGCATGTACAACATTTGCTGCCTTCCTTCCTTAAATAAGGGCAATAATTACAATCTGTTTTTCAAAGAATGAATGACCTCACTAATAGAACTCCACACTGCTATTATTTTGAACATGCCCCTTTCAATTAGTGATTAAATTACACAGAATCAGCAGCATGCATGTCATGACTGTTGGGTCTGTTGAATTTCTATTGCTCTACTACACCTGCTAGGAAATTATTTGCCATGTAGAAATATCATTTCTACCAAAAACAGTGATTGATCAGGTTAGTGATTTCTGACTGCTATTATTTTGAACACAACTGTATATGAATATATGATGTGTGATATGTATATACCTTGTGATACTTGTTGTATAGGCTCTGTACAATCCAGATGAGCGGTGTGCTGATAAGGGTGAGCAGTGTCAGCTTCCAGGACACCAATATCATAAAGTAATAGTGACCGATGCATTTCACCAGCATCCTCAGGGTGATGTTCACATTGGCAGCGATGGAGCGGCTCACCAGTGCCGTGTCTTGTGACAGCCGAGACGTGATCTCTCCTGTAAGGCGATGACAATCAGGTAACACTTATTACTAATTAGTGATGTCTTTTCCTTCCTGCAACTCTGAATCTATGTAAAAAACAATTGTTCTGAACAACCTTCAAGGCAGGATCACCAGGTATTATTTAAATGAAACTGTAGACTGAAAATTACTTCTGAAATAACAAAAATAAAAATGACATCTGAAGTGTTGGATGCTGGTGTTCCCCGTTACGCTCTATGGTTTTCTCCACTGGCAGGACACAGAGGCCAGTGGAAGCAACCAGGGTGCAGAAGGGGACCAAGCCTGAGATATGCAATGCAGCCAATAGGTACAGTTAGTATTAATGACTTGTTTTTCAGGAAGCACAGCTTTTCACATTTTGAAAGTGATGAATCACTTTTAACACACTAAAAATTTAAATACGAGATGTTCTTGATTTGGTTTTTATTTACTTTAGGAAGACAAGCACATGCAGCATTCTGGGATACCACGGTACCTGTTTTAGTTGTTTCAAAGAAGGCAATGTCCTGTTTAGCAAAGGCTCGAAAGAGTAGGCCCCTTAATCGGATATTGAGGCGAGCCATGGAGAATATGAATAGTCCTCCTCGGCATCCTGCAGAGACAGAACTATGGAGAAACAGGGATACAAAGTTATTAGTAACCCGACATACCAATATTACAGATCATTTTTGAATCAAGTGGGAAGTAGCAGTAATTTTCTTGGGATCAACAGAATAGAAATCATTAAGGAATTAAAAGAGAAGAAGGGAGATATTTTTACTAGAATAGATGAGTGGAAATATCATCAATTAAAATGTTTCATTGGAAATCTCCCGAAAGGAGGAAGAGGCAAGTCCTGGAAACGCGTCAGCCTTTTGGATGTCTAAACTCCCTACTGCGGACTGTTACTCAGCGTGGTGTTGACCCAGCTGTTCTTTATGATGTGCCTTGACTATATTGTCGTTTGTGAGTACAACACCTACTTTATTGCTTATTAAACATTGTTTATGGTAATGCACTAGGCCTGTGCGCCCTCTGTTTTGTCTTTCCTCATTCAGTATATTTGGATTTCCCCGGTCCATTTGAGGGCAGCAAGGTGTGCATGTTCCAGGACATTCTTAATGTGGTTGTAGCATCGAGTCCATCCCTAAGCGCAGGAGCATTTGTGTTTGCGAAATCTCCCGAAACCCCTGAGATTAAAAAAGGAGTGGAATATGTTTGAAAGGCTGTTAGAAACATGAAGGGATGGGAAGCACGGTATTGCTAAAATCTATACAATACTCACAGAATTAGACACAAACACAAAGTTAATTTTTTATAACAAAATGGGAAAGGGATATGGAAGTAGTGTTAGATGAGGATAAACAGGAAAAGATATTTAGATTGATACACGAGAATGTTAGTATGAGAGAGGTGGAGATTAATTATAAGTGTTTGACACGATGGCATATTACACCGAGTATTGAGCATAAGATGAGTGGGGAAAATTCAAAAATGTGTTGGAGAGGATGTGGAGAGATGGGCACGGTGTTTCACATATGGTGGGAATGTCCGAAAATTCAAGCTTTTTGGAAGACAATAGTTAAATTGATTGAAATAATAACTGGAAATGACATAGGGTTAGACCCAACGATGTGTCTCCTACATAATATTGAGACATCAGTAAACAAATACAAAGAATCAGGCGTATGGTACTATTTAAACGCTGCAAAAGGTTTGATACCCAAGTTTTGGCAGAAAACAGAGGTGCCGAAGGAGGAAGACTGGATCAATAGAGTAAACCAGATTGGTAGAATGGAAAAATTTTACCATATGCAGGAAGATAAGATGGGAGTATATTATACGAGATGGGGAAAAATGGGAAAAATCAGGATTGAAAGAGAAATATAGAAAACTATAAACTACGACGTTACCTAAAGTCATTAGGCCTCGAGAGATTAGAGTGGGTGAGAGCTTGCAGAGGGGAGGGAGGGGGGAGGGGGGGGTGGGAATGGGTTGGGACGGTTGGGAAAGAAAAGAGTTTTTGGAAGGGGAAATGTAGAAATGTAATGAATATTTATATGTGTTGTGTCTCCTTTATGGATTTTTGTAATAACATGAAAAATTAATAAATATTTAAATTAAAAAAAAAAAAAAAAAAAAAAAAAAACAGAATAGAAATCAGCTGTGTGTTGTAAACTGTGCTCATAGTTATATGTCTCTATGATTGCTAGGGGAAACTCTTAATTATGTTTAAATGTCTTTGTAAAAAGATGATGTACCATGACAGTTAGCCAATGGAAGGTATCACTTTGACAGCATTTGTTGGCTTTCCCACCATTGCCTTGAAAGCTTAAAGTTATACTAAACCTAAAAACGCTCTTTATCTTAATGCATTGCTTGCATTAAGGTAAAAAAACGTTTTCTATTTGTCTGTGCTCCCCCTTCTCTGTGTGAAGGGGAAGAGAGAGGGGAGAAGAGATCAGCGCTGTGCACAACTGCATCTTTTCTCCACTCTCTTCCTCTTCACACAGGTACTTGAACAGCAGTAGGAGCCATTGGCTCTTGCAGCTGTCAATCAAACGTAGTGACGAGGAAGTGGGTGGGCAGGGCTAAGTGTATGTCTATGGAGTGCGACTCCGTAGATACACAGGTCGGGAGCGTGCACAGTGTGTGTCCTCATAGCAAACAGCTTGCTATGGGGGACACACAAAAAGGAGGAGCCGAGATAACCGACGGGGACCTGAGAAGAGGAGGATTGGGCCTGGACATGTTTGGTATTTTAATTGAAAAAAAAAAAAAATTCAGACTTTAGTAACAATTCAAAATTAAGGTATTAGAGAAAATCAACCTTACAGTGCCCCTTTCCCCCCCTACCCCAAGCTGCAAGGGTTAGGTGGAGCTGAATGAGAAATATAAAGTAGGAAAGTAGGTGTTATCCCAATTTGGCTGCAAAAGTGCAAATACTATTTAAGTCAATGTTTCTACTAAATATACACAGTTCATGGTTTACTAACCTTGTGACAGAAAAGAAGGCCATGTACAAAATGGCCAACAGGAACTCTGTCTCCTTGTAGTTGTTGGACAAGATGTCAATCACACGTCCCATGTAGTATGGAATAGATATTTCCACTGGAGATAATGACAGGGATAGGTTAGCATGGTACTTCCAGTAAAATATATGGTACTATTTTTTCCATACATTTTTATTAAGAATTAAATTAAACAAGCAAACATAGACAAAGTGGTGACATTAATATAAAGCTCTCCATACAATATAGTGCATCCATAATGGCAGAATTTAGATATTCTGTTGGGTCTCACCCACAAATTTGACTCATCCAAATATTGTAGGTTGAAAAAGCCTGCCAGCTTTCAGGGGTTTACATGATGATGGTGGTTGAGGTTTTGCATGCGGTGGCTTGTCGTTTCATCAGTAGAGTCTAATATTACCAGTGTATGTATTTACATATTAGTCCGTTTCTTTTCCAGATCTACAGTTAGGTCCATATATATTTGGACACAGGCACAATTTTAGTTTTTTTCAGGTATTTACCAAAACATATTGAAGCTATAGTTCTATAATGGGTATGGGCTGAAAGTGCACACTCTCAGGTTTAATTTGAGGGTATTTACATCCAAATTGGAGGAAGGGTTTAGGAATTACAGCTCTTAAGAGTAGCCATCCCCCCCTTTTTCCAGGGACCAAAAGTAATTGGACAATTCAATCAAAACCTGTTTCATGGCCAGGTGTGGGCTACTCCTTTGTTATTTCTTCATCAATTAAACAGGTAAAATGTCTGGAGTTGATTATAAGTGTAGTATTGGAATCTATTGGATGTACATACCCTCAAATTGAACCTGAGAGTGTGCACTTTCAGCCCATATCCATTATATAACAATAGCTTGAATATGTTTAAAATACCTGAAAAATCTAAAATTGTGCCTGTGTCCAAATATATATGGACCTAACTGCTATGTGGATCAATGGACCTTGTTTACCAAAATATGTAAAGGAAGAACTGTCCCAGCCTGTGTGCTGACCTTGACAGCTAATAGAATTCTTATTTTCAATCTTCCATAGTGAACTAAAAAGACAGAATAAGATTGGGTGCTGTAGCCAATACAGACTGAGACAGAGGGTGCGAATATTGAGGCCTCTCGATGTTTAGGGTCCTGTCTGCCCAGTCTATGTTGACTGTGACAGCCAATACAATTCTTCTTTTCATTCCTCCATAGTGCACTAGGAAAGAGAGAATAAGACTGGGTGATGTGGCCAATACAGACCGAGACTAGGAGTGCTAATACTGTGGTCTGTAGATGTTTAGGATCATGTCTGCACCCAATCTTATTCTCACTTTCCTACTGACCCTGTCAGCCAATACAATTCTTCTTTTCATTCCTCCATAGTGAACTAGGAAAGAGAGAATAAGATTGGGTGCTGTGGCCAATGCAGACTGAGACAAGGGGTGCTAATACTGAGCTCTCTGGATATTTTGGATCCTGTCCACTAAGCTTGTGTTGACCATGACAGCCCATACAATTTTTATTTTGATTCCTCCATAGTGAACTAGGAAAAAGAATAAGATTGGGTGCTGTGGCCAATACAGACTGAGGCAAGGGGTGCTAATACTGAGCTCTCTGGATATTTACTATCCTGTCCCTAAGCCTTTGTTGACCTTGACAGCCAATACAATTCTTCTGTTCATTTACCCATAATGGACTAGGAAAGAAAGAATACGATCGGGTGCTGTGAACAATGGAGACTGAGACGAGTGGTGCCAATACTGGGGCCTCTGGATATTTAAGATCCTCTCCATTAAGCCTTTGTTGACCTAGACAGCCAATAAAATTCTTCTGTTCATTTCCCCATAGTGCACTAGGAAAGAGAGCATAAGATTGGGTACTGTGCACAATGGAGACTGAGACAAGGAGTGCTAATACTGAGGCCTCTGGATGTTTAGGACCCTCTCTACCTTGTTTCCATAGTAAGATTTGTCTGGTTCTGGATTCTGTACTAAATGCCCAGACAAATTCATCTATAAAACAACTGATGGTAAGGGCTGAGCTGTTATGTCTCCCCAGCTGTACAGAAACATTGTTATATGGGGGAACCAAGAAGGTCATTTACTGTCTAAGCTTATACATGGAGCAATGCAGAGCCTACACAGGGGTTAGACCCTGAGTTCCAGCAGATGAACAGACTGGTGGGAAAGCAAGTAACAATAGTCGGAGGTAAGTATTGGTAGGAGGGGGATGGAGAATCTTCTAAGAGAACCTGTCACTTTGACAGATTCTCTTTATTAATATGGTAATAATCTTCTCCGTGTATTCTCATATGACATGTCCAGACACATGTATTGCAAGTGCATTAAACCTTTGTAGACACATACAAAAATAAACTGAACTCTGCTGAGGTCAATGTAGTGTTATTGTTCCAGATGAAACAAATGCCCTTTCATGGGCTATGGTTAAGCCCTGTAATAGGGAAAAAAGCACCAGTAAAAGCAAAATGGGACTGGGTGTTTGATTCACCTTGAACAATAGCATTAAGTTGAACAATGACATGAGAAGAGTGCTGCCTCTTCATTTATGACCCAGGGCAGATCGGGAAGATCTTAGTGCTGCCTGGGCACCTTGAAGACCGTAGAGTTGAGCCTAATACTTTTACAGAGTTTTTGGAACTTACACATCAGTGCAAGAGTCAGGAACACAAAAGCTGGGGTCAGTAGATGCCAGTCCGGTTTGGAAAGCTTTATGAGCCTGATGAAGTTCTCCCTTTCCTTCTTCTTTCCATTTCCATTTCCCTCAGGATCCTCTTCTGGAAATATAACAGGGGACAGCAGATCCCAGAGCAGTAAGGCCAGAGACAAGGGCAAGTGATAGAGCAAAGAGTTGACCAGGCCCAAGTGTAGTTCTGGAGCCTGGGAGAAGAGAAGGAATCGGAGGGTCTGGTACAGAGGAGGTGCCAGGCAAAGCATCAGGACGTAGAGAAGAGTTGATGGGATCCACCAAGGATGGGGGAGTTTCTGGGAAACAGCTTTTAGAAGGGGGACTTTAATAAGATTCACCAGCCACACGGCCTCCAGGAAATATATAGGGTAGTATTTATATACAAGGAAGGAAAATACATGACTTAGAGAGGAGTCCAGCAAGAAGATAATGAGTGGAAAACAGAAGGAGATCATTGTGAAAAGTCGTCCAAAGACCTGAAACACAAAATAGAGACCTGTTAATATGTGCATGGAGACAAGGTGAATAAACCAGCCATTCTCAACCTTTCCAACATCGTGGAACCCTGCAAATAATTTTCCATTCTCAATATTAATTATCATATCTAGAGCTCATTATTTATTAGTGTGTTGGTCACTAGGAATAATGTTCCTTAAATTGGTTCTAAAGCCTTGAGATTTTTTTAGCTTAATGTGTTCTATGCATTATGGTAAAAATCCTTCTGTGATGCAGGATCCCCCAAGCTCATTCTTACCTGAGCCCGATCCGATCCAGCGATGTGCATGAGAGCAGTGGCTCTCAGTGGCTCTCACCACTGTCTACCTCCGCACTGGGCAGAGTGATAAAAGCGCGAGCCAGTTGCTCCCTGTGCTGTCAATCAAATGTTGTGACGACGGAGCAATTTCAATGTCATAGACGCAGGCAGGGCAGCTCGGGAGCGAGCACACACGGGTGTCCCCATAGAAAGCAGCTTTCCATGGGGGCACTCGTCAAAGAGGTGGAGCCTGGAGCCCCAGCGGGGGACCTCAGAAGAGGAGGAATGGGGGCTGCTCTGTGCAAAACCATTGTGAAGAGCAGGTAAGTATATCATGTTCGTTATTTTAATTTAAAAAAGTGTACTGTCACTTTAATGAGGTTCTTCAGTCTTTTTGAAAAAAAAAATAAAAGGCATCAGCTACAAATACTGTAGCTGATGACTTTAATAAAAGGACACTTACCTGTTCTGAGATTCAGCGCTGTTCTCTTTCAGGATGGTTCTTTGTTGGTTCCCAGAGCTGGCATGTTTACTGTGGGCAGCTGGATGGAGGTCCATATTGCACTTTGTGAATGGTCCCGCAGCCTTCTGGGACATATGACGTGTTCCCAGTAGGTTGAGGGTGGGAGAGAAAAACATCCAGTTGATCATCCTGGTGATCTGACCGGAGGTGGAAGAAACCAGGTACCTGCTCCTCCCCCCAAAAAAAAAGAAGAGGAGGGGGAGAGAGGGACAAAAAGTAGAACTTTTTTTCATAGGAATGTTCACATGAAGACTCTCATCAGTAAATTAGAGACTTGACAAATGTCATTCAAACGTACAACAATTTTTTTACGACAAAGTTTTAACATTCAATTTTGGATTAAATAGAAATTCCCAAATGGAAAACTGCATTCACTGTTAAAATGTTGTTCTTATTACTTTTACTTTTCCATTGCTGCTCCAAATTTTCTCATCACTGAGGCTGAATATAAACATCTGTTTGGCCCTACTAACCATAATAAAAATTGAATGAATGTTCCAAAAATTTACAATGGAACTCCATCCATGTATGGCCAGCTTAACACCTACAGTATGCTCACTGGAAGAACCACCAGATTTAGATAGCTAAAAATATAATTGGTGTCAGTGGTTACTTAGTGCCAATGGGGGGCATTGGTGGTCTATTCAGTTGCTTGGGAGACTTTGGGAGGCACCTGTGTGCTGGTGGACTATTTAAGTTTGTTACTTACAGTTATATGAGTGGCAAAAATTGCTGATTGCTCAATAAACCCCCTAGCAACATCTCTCTAGGTACCCTAGGATTCTGCACAACCCAGGTGGGGAAAGGCTGGAATAGACTCATTTACCCCCGGTTCACACCTAAGCGTTTTCCACAGCGTTTTACAGAAACGCACTACAGTCCATTTACCATGATTTCCTATGGGACACGTTCACATCTCAGCATTTTCACCAGATGCATTTTTTTGGAAAGGGTCAGGGATTTGTTTTAACGCAAAAAGTAGCATTTTTAGTTCTATAGACCTCAATGGAAATACTGCAGAAAAGCACGTAGTGTATTTTTGCTGCGTTTTTGATGTGTTTTTGCCGCGTTTTGCATTTTAAATCTACCTAGCAACAAGAAAAATTAAAAACAAAATGCAGCAAAAACGCAAGTGCAAAAATGCAAAATGCAACGCAAAACATAATGCAAAAATGGATCAAAATCAAACTGCATAGGTGTGAACCTAGCCTTAGCAACACTCTAAGGCTAGGTTCACACCTATGCAGTTCTGCATTTGATCCGTTTCTGCAGCGCGTATTTGTACGTGCGGTTTTTTTACGCAATTTTGATGCATTTGGAGTGTTTTTTTTCTTGTTGCTAGGCAGATTTAAAATGCAAAACGCATCAAAAACGCACTACATGCTTTTCTGCAGTCTACAGATCCAAAAATGCTACTTTTTGCTTTCAAAAAAGTCCCTGATCCTTTCCAAAAAACACAAAAAAGGGAAATGTGAACATGTCTCATAGGAAATCATGTTAAACGGACTGTAGTGCGTTTCTGCAAAACGCTGTGGAAAACGCAGGTAAGGCTGCATTCACACCTGAGTGTTGCGTTTTTTTTGGGGGGGGCGTTTGTCGAACATTTGCATGCGCATTTTTGAGCTCAGGTGTGAATGGGGCCTAAAGCTGATAAGAAACCAAATGCCCTCAAACCACTTGCATTTAGAAAATAAGTATATTAATCTGCCGGGAACACAGCTTCCATCTTCCATTAGCAGATTTATTTAGTATAATATAATAACATATACGTGAATGCAGCGCCAAAATTACATAAAATTAAATTATTAAGCTGCTAAACCTCACCCCTTAAAAAAAGGTAACAATATAAATCAAATAAAAAGGTTGCACTTATATGATAAATAAATCAAAAACTTATATTGTGAAATAAATAAAAATACATTTTTTTATTCTTATTTATTTCACAATATAAGTTTTTGATTTATTTATGTTATAAGCGCAACCTTTTTATTTGATTTAGATTTATTTAGTAGTTTGGTATCCCATCTGCAGAAATTATATTTAGTGCTACCATTTTATCTTGTTAACATGCTAGGCATAGATTATTATTGTTTTTTTTCTACAAGGCTTCCTGGTGAGCCGATCGTATTGTGCGCCATTTTAAAGCTTGTTCCTCAAAATAAATCTATAAAATGTCGGGGTTATGAAGAAACTGAAAGTAAGTTGATGATTTAAGTTGGCAAACGTCCAGCATCCGTCACAGCGTGGCTGGATTGGTAATGCTGCCGCAGCAACACGTAGAGCAGAGCGGCGAGGTGGAAGCTGATCAGAGACAGTCAGCCACAAAACTCTTTTGCAGGACATAGATTGGTAGAAAATCGGCCGATTTTCGCACTGTTAATGGGTTAATAGGTCGGCCATTTTTCAGGGTTTTGGCACATTTTTATATCGGTGAAGTTGGAAAAGATCGGCCAATTTTGCCGATCGGACGATTTTCTCAGCAAAGATGGGCAAATCGGCTGATCTTTTTACCAATAAAAAATCTGCGCATGAGCCGTGACCTGGAAGAAGAAGCAGAAAAGAAGTAGAAGAAGAAAAAGAAGAAGAATAAGAAAAAGAGGAATAAGAATTCCAGTCCGCTATTATATTTGACATGAAAAGTATTGTGGTTGCAACAATGTATCTATTTGTATCCAAATAAAAACATCTGTATAACAAATGGATACAAATAGATACATTGTTGCAACCGCAATACCTTTTCATGTCAAATATAATAGCGGAGCTCTCTGCAAGGGACAGAAGGAATTAAATGCCGGCTGTAGACAGGACAAAAATCGGACGATTTTTTTTTACCGTTGGCAGTAACGTCGGCCGATTGAACGACCAATTTTTCATTTTTTTTTTTTAAAACGGTCAGTTTTCGACCCGTCTATGGCCTGCATTATTCTGCAATGACTCTGGGGTTCCAGCATGGGGCCAGATTGTGTTTTCTTTAATATATAAAAGGGGAAAAAATGTATAATATATACAGCATACCAGTGATTGTCAAATTTGCTTTGAATCTAGGAGCCATTTTTTTTTTCAGCGTAGCGTGGGTTGTCAGCGCTTCTGGGCGACAAGCTTCACACGATGTGATCTGCCGCGCTACAATCACAGGAAAAACCATGCCACGTTTTAGCTGCCACTGAAAACAAAGCACCTGAACTTGCATTTTGCGATCACAGCGTTTCTGCTGCGATCCCAAAGCGCCCAAGTGTGAGTGGAGCCACTCTGGTTCAAACATGTGCGATTCTGGATGCATTTTCAAACTCACAAATTCGCATGACAGGCTAGATAGTATGTGTTCCTACTGAGGTGGTTCACACAGATGCAATCCACGGGGATTGTGTTTTGAGTGCCAAAAAGGGTCCTGCGCAAGTTTGTAGCAGTGCGTTTCAGATTTGCAAATGATATAGTACAATGGCATGCAGAGATACAGTAAGTGTTCACATGGGATTGCTATTGACAGGAATTTTTGAGTTAAAGCCTATGTGAGACAATTTTGCATTGAAGTCAATGGGAGGTGATTTTGCATTGAAGTCAAAGGGAGGTGATTTTGCATTGAAGTCAATGCGAGATGATTTTGCATTGAAGTCAATGGGATGTGATTTTGCATTGAAGTCAATGGGATGTGATTTTGCATTGAAGTCAATGGGAGGCAATTTTGCATTGAAGCCAATGGAAGCCAATTTTGCATTGAAGCCAATAGAAGCCAATTTTGCATTGAAGCCAATGGGAGGCAGTGTGTAAACCCAGGCATCAGGATGCAATTCATGTCGTCATAGCGACCTAGGATCTATCGAGCCCTGCGGCACACTTCAAAACTAAGGGAAATTAATAAATAAATAAAAAGATTTAATTTCAAAGCCATATATATATGTATATATAGGTAACACCCCTAACCATTTCTTAGTGTAGCTGTAGGTGGAATTTAAGGCTTTGTTTACACTGCC